GGCTGGCAAGGTGGCACAGTTAGAGGCTGTCAGGCCAGTGGTGGGGGGCAGTTGGGGCGATCAGGCTGACGGGGGGGCAGTTGGGGGTGAGGAGGCTGGCCGGGGGGCATTGAGGGTGATCAGGCTGGCGGTGGGGAGGCAGTTGGGAGTGAGCAGGCTGGCAAGGGAGGGCAGTTAGGGGCAAGCAGGCTGGGAGTGGTTAGGGGCAATCAGGTAGGCAGGCAGGTGAGCGGTTAGGAGCCAGCGGTATTGGATTGCGAGAGGATGTCCCAGATTGTGGGATTGGGCCCAAACCGGCAGTCGGACATCCCCCAAGGGGTCCCAGATTGCAGAGGGTGCAGGCCAGGCTGAGGGGCACACACACCCCTGCCCCATGCACAAATTTCATGCACCCGGCCACTAGTTAAAAATAAATTTTAAAAAAACTGAAAAAAGAAAATAAAATATCTTAATTCTCAATGTTTCTAAGTTTTAAATTGTGGTGTACTGAATACAACTATTTTTACTTTTTTTTCATTTTCCTATTTATTTTTTGCTGACAGTAAAGGGATTGATAATCTTTTGGCAAAAAAATAAAGACCACAGAACAACCATAGTTTTTCCCATTGATTACTATTATTACTTTATTGGTTTCAGCTTGTACAGTCATTTCTGTAGTCCTACACTTCTATGCAAAGCAACGCATGATAGTTATTTTATCCAGCCAGTCGACTACTATATATAGTTTTAGAGAAATTGTTTGTTACTTTTCAATATTTGAGGAAACTTTCTATCATTTCTCTCCTGCTTCTGTCTTTGTATTTTCTATATTATGTAAGTCCTGATTCTAGTGATGTCTCATTATAGAGTAACTCTTGGAGCCTCCCAGTATATCTTCTACAGAAGAAGTATAGTACTTAAACTTCTCAGTTTTTCTATTCTTCAGTATCCTCCCTTATTTCTCATTCTCTTAAACCTACTTAAATTCAGCACTGACTCTTTTCCTTTCATTCTTCTTCCTGCTACTGTCCTATTCTTCCCTCTTCTCCCACAACGCCTGTCAGTTCCTTAGTACATTGCCTTCCTTTCAAAATGACACCTCCCTATCACATATTCTTATGAGAAACTTCTTTAAATTCATTGGCTTCTTCCTTTATGTTTCATCTACATTTCTGTCAGTCTTAAAAGACAAATGTTTTCCTTGAATTTAAATTATTACAAGAAATTCTATGTGAGCAAAATGTCAAATTCTAGCTGAATGTTGACCACATTAATGCTATGATAGGCAACAAAATGAAAATAAATAATGCATATTTTCACTATATACCCTGGTGTACTTCTTGAACCATGTGAATGTATAGTCAAATATTCAAAAAATAGTTAGTAAACCTCACATTAAATAAATAATGATAATTGAAATCTTGGTTTCAGTTTTCCATTGACAATTTGTTTGTTACAATTGCTTCCTAAAGTTCTGAGGCTTTCAGAAGAGGAAACCTTCATCTGTCTGATGTTATTTGCACACACATAGAATGAAGAGCAGCTACTGGGGGCTACATGGACTCTAGGCACATAAATGTGGATTTGGGCATGAGTGTTACTCAGAAGAGAAGCTGATAGCCTGGTTGCATGTCTTTAAGGCCTTGAGAATCATAGTGATGTGACTTTGAAAGAGAATTCCATTTTATCAGCTAATTTATTGCCTCATTGTTGAAAGCCAAGGGCTTTGTCAGGTTTAAAATGCTACACGGAGTTTTTAATCTACATATTTAGATGAAGTTACTGTATTGGAACTTGTCATTTTAAGTCTGCTACTGCCTTTTGAATTTTTCATGGTCATTACTGCATGTCATGTTACTGAATGTGTTCTTTTTTTGTTTGTTTTTCCCAAAAAAGATACTAGCATCTCTGTTTCTCTTGCTTCAGTTCATAGTGTCTAAAGGAGATTCCAGGGGAATTCACAGAGGCCCAAAACTTATAATATAATGGCACCAAAATCAATTAATTGGAAATCTAGTTAACAAAAATTAATTCAGTATCTAAAAGAGTTATCTCCTGTAAACAGAAATTTTAGTCTACTTCTCATTCACTTCTCTGAGCCCATGCTACATCCTGAATTACTGGTTGTATTAGTCATAAGCTTTCAGTACTGTTAAGTGTATTTTACTGTGCAGCATGATAGAAAATTTTCATGTTAAAGCAGTTGTGCATCTCCTGCTCTACAGTGGAAGCGAAGCACAGATTCAAATGTAGAAGTGTGCCCCGATTGCAGTAATCAGTGCAAGAACATCCATAAAGCTTTTAGGTGACTTCAGGGCAAAGTCACCTAAGCCATGTCTTTAAATCTTGCCTGGCATAACAAGAACCTTTAAACCAGCGGTTCTCAACCTTCCTAATGCCGCGACCCTTTCATACAGTTCCTCATGTTGTGGTGACCCCCAATTTCATTGTTACAAATTGAACATAATTAAAGCATAGTGATTAATCACAAAAACAATATGTAATTATATATGTGTTTCCCGATGGTCTTAGGCGACCCCTGTGAAAGGGTCGTTCGACCCCCGAAGGGGTCGCGACCCACAGGTTGAGAACAGCTGCTTTAAACTTTGTCTATCTGTGAATATACCTGACTCATCACCATAGTGCCTTTCAACCCACCCCTACTCAACTCAACTGCTCTTCCTGCCTTATGCAGATACTTAAATTCTTCACTTCTGGTGAAGCCATGGGGTTTTTATATTTATCACAGATGTATAAAATAAAAGGGAAGATTTTTTTCTGTATACTCTAAATCTCTTTGTGGTCTATGTTGTTGTATCATATATGAGTAAAATGACAAGAAGAATAACAGCAGAAAGTGTTTTTTTCCTCTTAAAAAAGATACTAGTGTCTCTGTTTCTCTTGCTTTTAAAAGTTCTTCAGTCTTTATCTAAAATTAAGAAAATCAAGGGAATTCTACATTGGCGACATTCTAACTTTTCTCTATATATTTTGTAAGAATAAAAGCATCTGGTATCACTGTCCTTTGGCTCCTGCTCCTGTTATCACCTCAGCAGAACAGTGTTAATTTTTATTTACCTTGTGAGTTATCTCATAGAGCAATAAATTACTCTGTTTAATGGCTACACTGACTTGATTAACTCTTTTTTTGTGTTATTACAACTTTAATGTTCTTGTTGTATGTAATTTACCTTCGGGTGTCATTTTTTCTTAACTGCATAACATGTCTTTGATGTCTCACTTTGTCTTACACTGTTTTCTACTTAAAAATCCACACAAAGGATTGATAGTTTAATTACTTCAGTTGTTTTGAAGTAGTTTTAGTGAACTAAATTGTTGTAATGTGTGGTGCTGTCTCACTGAGAGGTGGAAAGTGTCACTCTTTTGTACTCAGCTGCCACAGTTTTACTGAATTCCTGATTTTGCTTCTTAGACTCAGAGCGGGACTTCCCAGTGGCCGGTCTCTGGATCTTGTCTCCTGCCTTTGCCTTCTGTTTTGTCCCTTGATTAATGTGGTTCCTAAGGACCTACACCTGCCCTTTGGTGTCAGTGCTGAGTTTCTAGGGCAGCCGTGGGCAAACTACGGCCTGCAGGCCATTTGAAATGAATAAAACTAAAAAAAAAAAAAAAAGACCGTACCCTTTTATGTAATGATGTTTACTTTGAATTTACGTTAGTTCACACAAACACTCCATCCATGCTTTTGTTCCGGCCCTCCGGTCCAGTTTAAGAACCCATTGTGGCCCTCGAGTCAAAAAGTTTGCCCACCCCTGTTCTAGGGCCTCTGCAGAGTGGGGGAAACTGTAAAATTAACACCATCATCCTCTCTAACTTTTACACCATTCTTACATCTGGTCTGCTCTGTTGAGTTAATCACATTAAAAAGTTGGGCTCTTATGGTGTGTGTGTGTGTGTGTGTGTGTGTGTGTGTGTGTGTTTGGAGATATATTTCACATATATGTAAAATGAAACTTCACATATATTCTTTTTTTAATTAAATTTATTGGGATGACATTGGTTCATAGGGTCATATACATTTCAGGTATACATTTTTCTGATACATGACCTGTTACTGCATTGTGTGCCCACCACCCAAAGTCAGTTCACCTTCCGTCACCATATATTTGGCCCCCTTTATCCTTTACTGCCCTTCACCCCTTTTCCTCTGGTAACCACCGTGCTGTTGTCTGTCTGTGTCTGTGAGTTTCAGGGTTTTTTTTCTTTTCTTTTCTTTTTTTCTTAAACATTACAAATTCAGTTGAGAAGAGGGAAGGAGACGGAAGCAGTGGAGAGGGGAGAATAAGTAGAATCCTAGTGTAGATAGAACTGGGGTGGGGGCCAAGGGGGGCCATTGGGTGTTAAACCCATGGGGTCAGTCCGGACCTGGGTTCAGCAACCTCAGTGGTTGGATGCTGGCTCCAAAAGAATTCAGAGCCAAGACTCCAACTACAAGAGAACATTTACGTATAAAACCACGGACGTGGAAGAGGCAATTCCTAGGAGAAGTGGGCTTAGAAACAAGTCATAGAGGCAAAGTAAGGCCTTAGACTGAGCTTGGGAGTGAGGAAGCCTGTGGTAATGCCCCTGGGGTAGGGGTGGGGGAGGGGGAGGGGGAGGGGAAGGGCGAGTTTCAGTTTGTATCCCACATGCAAGTGAAATCATATGGTTCTTAGCTTTTTCTGACTTATTTCACTTAGCATAATACTCTCAAGGTCTGTCCATGTTGTCACAAATGGCAGCATTTCATCTTTTCTTATGGCTGAGTAGTATTCCATTGTGTATATGTAGTACATCTTCTTGACAAAGGAGCCAAAAACACACAATGGACAAAGAACGCCTCTTTAATAAATAATGCTGGGAGAATTGGAAAGCCACATGCAAAAGAATGAAGCTGGACTATAGCTTGTCCCCTTGTACAAAAATTAATTCACATATATTCTTAAGTCCTTTATCTGGAGCATGAGCAACTCTGGGAGAGATGCTTTTGGAGAAATGAGGAAGCAAAGATTACCTTCCAAACCAATGAGAATTGATCAGCATGATGGAGTAAGTCAAAGCCAGACTTCCCTCACATCAGGTGTTTTATACACTTGCTATGCTAAGCGCATTGAAGATAGCATGTGCATTAGCACGTTTTTACATGACTACAAAATAAATCATATCTGTAATGTCTGTTTGCGAGGTTCCATATTTCCTACATAGAGAGCTAAAACATGAAGCCGCAGCTAACTGTTTAGGGCAGCCAGGGTATCTGAGTGGAAAGGCGGGGAGTTCAAAGGGGTCAGAGATCACTGTGGTCCTAAGAATATGGGCAGAGCTTGCCAAAGAGAGGAGACTTGAGCCAAGCCCTACAAGGATGCTTGTTATTAACCTGCCCTCCACTATTCCCTGCTTCTTAACCGTTAGTGGATCTTGGCAGTTGGTCATGCCGTCTTGGAATAAAGGATAGTTAGGGAGAGCCTAATAATGCATATACTAACACTTGGTGCATTTCTGCTTACAAGTTAACTTCTTTTAATTCCAGGATCCTAATAATAGAAACTGTTAACTTTTCCTTGTGCAAGTGTAGCCATCCTGCTTTCTGACAGTTTCTTTACTCTCCATTTAGATTCTAAATATATGGGGCCTGGGATCCTGTGATTCTTATCCTTACTTCTTAATTCCCTATGGATAAGACTGAGCTGCTTTCTTACATTGTAATCTAATCACTTACTGAGAGGCCTCCGTATTTGTTGAAGGTGATGGATTAGCTTTTCAAGCACCACAGCCCATACAGTGCTGGTTGTCTGGGGCATCCCCATCACCTGCCTTCCCCTGAACTCTATTTCTGTTCCAACCAAATGTGCTCCTGCCTTTTTTTGCAGATCACCCCATTTCCATAGCCCATTAAATATACTTTTAAGGAGATGTCAAGACTTCCCTTAAGAGTATGGGCTTTTACTTGTGACAGCACATATGCATAAACCAGGAGATAGGCACCTTGGCAGATGAAATCTGACCAAGTACAGAGAAAACCTTAATTAAGAGCATCCAAGTTAATTTTAAAACACTTCAAGTCAATATAGCCTTATTTTTTAAATTAGTAAATAGTTTTAGCTACTAAGTTTCAGCTCAGTTAATATAATAAGCTTTCCTCAAGTTCATTTGAACTTTTGTCCAATTCACTAAAAATATTTTTAGTAAACTGTTGCTTTAGACAACTGAGCTTTTTCTCTGTGGTGCTTTTTTGCAAAGGGGCTGGTTTCCATATGTGGGCCTTAATTTATACAGTTGCTCTCTGTTCTCCTCTTTATGATCTTTCATTCTGTTCATTCTAGTTGCTTTGTAAGTTTGAAAAAAAAAATAGTATGTAGGTAGACCTGGAAAGAGTACATATGAGCAAAATTATTCTTAAGCAAAATTTTATATATTGTAAATTATTTTTCATAGACCATCATCTTGAAACTTATCACAAAGAAATATGGAGATCTTTTCACCATTAACACTGCAGAGATTCATTTATTTAACATTAAACTGGCTTCCCACTCTGTGCCAGATGTAGTTCCAGGTGCTGAGGATTTCACAGTGAACCAAACAGACAAGGGCCCTCCCTGCTCTTGGCCACACACGTTCTGACTGTAATTGCAGTAGAGATGCAGACAACAAACAAATCATCACATACACAGCCATATCCACAACCTCATTACCTGTAGAGCTGTTGAATTTAGTCTCATGGTGCTAGCCCCCCATCTTGAAAGAGGTGTTTAAGGACCTTATTCTGGTACAGGAGAGAAAGGATGGGAAGGTCAAGTTTCTCATGGTTAAACTGGAGCTAAATGTGATTTACTTTCAGAATTGTAAAGATGAAAACTCATTCATTCATTAAGCAAATCTTTATTGGACAGTATATCAGTCGGGTTTCTATTATGTTCCAGGCTTTATAATAAGGCCCTTAAGTACTTCACACTCTAGTTGGAAAGATGGAAACATAAAATAAATAATTTCAGATAAATGTTATAATGAAAACATATGTCAAAAGGAGAACCACAAAAGCAGTAACTAACCGCCTGGGGGAAGGCTTTATCATACAGTGACCTCTAACTTGTATCTTAAAGGTGACTAGAAATACATGATGCTTCATTTGTTCAGCAAATGTTTACTGAGCACCTTCTGTGAACCAAGCACAGTTGTAAGCACTGTAGACAGCAGTGAACTAGGCATAGTCCCTGCTCTCTTGGCAGCAGGGAAACAGACAATAAACATATAGACAAACAATTATATATTAGATGGTAATACTGCTAATGCAAAAATAAAATAAAAAATAAAGGATACTGAAGGAAACAGAGAGTGATAGATGCTGTTTTAGAGAGTGTGTCTAATGAGATGACATTAGATCAGAAGCCCGAATGACATGAGAGATTGAGACCAAGAAGCAGGGGGAAGTCATTTCAGACAGAAGGAACAGCATGAATAAGATGTAATAATCATGAAAGCATGGCATCTTTAGTGCAAAGTGGGATATTCTCACTGAGCACGCAGTTAGGTGGGGCGCAGGGAGTTGGAGGTGTTTGGTAGATGAAGCTGGGAAAGAATTGGCAGAGGGAGGCATGGAGAGAAGAAAGGAGGACAAAAGGGAGGGGCCAAATGGTGAAAAGCCACGTGTTCCACACTCAGGAGTTTCATTGTTGATATTGTGGCCTGGGGGAAGAGGGGCTAGATTTTGAAAAAAAAATTTAAGAGGAAAATGACATGGTTAGATTTTCATTTGGTCAGGTTTGGTCTGGGTTTTGGCAAATTACTCTAACAGCGGTATGCAAGATAAAGTTGAAAGGAGGTGCAGAGGAAGTTAATTATGATGTTACTAGAGGCCTGATGCACGAATTTGTGCACAGGTGGGGTCCTTCAGCCTGGATGGTGATCGGGGCCAATTGGGGCCATCTTGCCTAGTTCCAATTGGGCCTGCCAACCTAGGGAGGGACCATGGGAGGTTGGCTAGCTGCGGGAGGTTGGCTGTGGGAGCGCACTGACCACCAGGGAGCAGCTCCAGCGTTGAGCCTCTGCCCCCTGGTGGTCGGTGTGCATCATAGCTACCGGCCGGTAATGTGGCCTAAATTAAAACAGTAAGATGAGGCTAGAGTTCAGATGTTTTAGAAGACCTATTAAAGTAAAATTTGATTCCCTATAAAGTATAGGCAAGGTCAAGAACCACTCCTAGGTTTAAGCTTCAATGATGATGCCATTAACCAGCTTAGGGAGCCTTGGAGGAAAGCAGATATAGAAGAAGTACAGATAATGAATTTTATTTGGGGCACTGGGAAATACAGAACTGGACATTAAAAGTCAAGTCTGAAATACAGATTTGGCATTTCATGGAAATTTAAAAAGGAGAAGGAGCAAGAAGAGTAGTCAGCATTGTCCGATACTACACAGAAGTATAGTGGGATACAGATTTTTTTTAAAACCATCAGATTTGACAGTTGGAATGTCACCAATGATTTCTAGAAGACCAATTTCAGTGGACGTGGTGGCAGAAACACATCATGCTTGAATTGGAGAGTGAACGGGATTGTCCAGCCCAGGTCACTGTCCTCTTAGGAGCTTTGAACTTGATGTTTTTCTTCTCTTCCCCATCCCTCATTGGCTTTTTCCACCCATGCCCTAAGACTGGGTGCCTGAGCTGCAGACGTAGTGGAGGGGAAAATATTCTAAGATTCTTGGGTCTCTAATGTGCAAGGAACCAGGATGAGGGGAACCTGGTGTTGGTGAGTCAGGTATTGCAGGGAGCAGTCAGTGGGGAAGAGCTGGTAAGGCCAGTCCGAGACCTGCCTCCAGAGGGGAAGGGAGATGAAGCACATAGGTCTCCATTATAGGCAGGAATTCTGAACCTGGAAGCCGAAGTAGGATGAGGTGCAAAGGACTTTAAGGGCTGGTGGGAGAAACATGGAATCAGTTGAGAACTTGGCCCCGTGAGAGAGTGGAATCTGGCAAAGTGTGGGGGTGAGGGGTAGAGTCTGACAGAAAATTAATGTTAACTGGAAAGTCAGGCAGCGATGTTTAGGTTTCTTGGGACACAGGGCATGAACATGTATGTGCAAAGGAGAGACTATTGGCAGTACTGTGACCATAAAGACAGCATGAGGGGACAGTTAATGGATTGAAGGCCAGTCCCAGAGATACCTGGCATATAGACGTTTAACAAACGTTTGTGAAGCCAAATGGGGTCGTTCAAATCATGTGGAGGAAAGGAAGTAGATACCCGAGTTCTGAAGGGCTGTAAGTAAATACCTAGGTCCTTTCAGGGATACGATGGAGGCAGTGACTAAGGAATCCCAGGCAGCTTGGAGGTGCAAAGCTCAGGGAGGGAGGTGGAAGGAAAGTTCAGGGTAGAGGACGTATTTCCTTAACCCTGGAGACCCTAAGACTTAACCGGTGGGTCTATTGGATTTCCCCACCACGGAAGACACCCTTGGCCTGTTTCTCTTGCCTGCACTGCCATCTCCACCCTCTGGGGGGCGGGGCTCGAGGGCAAGGCAGGTAGGTGGCTGTTGTGAAGCCTCGAGAGCCACCAGTTCCTACCAGACTTCCTGCGTGGGGTGCGGTTTTACTCCATGGCGGAGCGCAAGCCCTCCCACTTGTCCCCTCAGCCAGCTGGTGGTGGGGGCGGGCCCAGAGGGCCAATGCCAGTGGGTATTGACACTCCAATTTGGTTGAGTGCCCATGCGGCCCCTGGCAGTTTGATGGTCAGGCCGGGCATCCAGATGGGAATCTCCCCGAGCCCTGAGGTGTGGGCGGTGCCCCTGAATCCCCAGTCATACAAATTGCGGGGCAGGGTGGTGCCCTGCGAGGCCCGGGTCGGAGTTGGCGAGGCGGGGGCCTGGCTGCAGAGCCCTTCGGAAGGCACTCTCCGTGGGCCTCTCAGCGCCCTGCGGTACATCCCGAGGTTGGCGCTGCCCGAGGACCTCTCGGCCGTGGAGAAAGAGATGGAACAGCTGGCCAAGGAGCTGAGAGAGAGGAGGATGACCCTTGGGTACTCGCAGGCCGACGTGGGGTTCGCTGTGGGCGCTCTTTTTGGAAAGGTGCTTAGCCAGACGACCATCTGCCGCTTCGAGGCCCAGCAGCTCAGCCTCGCCAACAGGTGGAAGCTGCGCCCGTTGCTGAGAAAGTGGCTGGAGGAAGTGGATACCAAGAACCTTCTGGGCTTATGCAGAATGGAGATGATCCTGCACCAGGCTCAGAAGTGGAGACGGGCAAGCAGGGAGAGGCGCATCGGAAACAACCTGGAGCAATTCTTCCTGCAGTGCCCGAAGCCCACAGCCCAGCAAATGAGCCGCATCGCTGGGCAGCTTCGGCTGCGGAAGGACCTGGTCCAAGTTTGGTTCTATAACCGGAGCAAGATGGGCAGTCTGCCAACTAATGATTTCTGTCCACCGGAGGAGGTGGGGGTTGCCAGGCCTCCTTTCCCAGGGGGAACAGTATGCTTTCCCCTAGCATCGGGGCTCCGTTTTGGTCCCCCCAGCTATGGGGGACCTTACTTTACACCCTTGTACTCCTCAGCCCCTTTCCCTGAGGGAGGCGCCCTCCTCTCTGCCCCCAGCACCACTCCGGGCGCCCCCAGGCTTTCCAACTGAGGGCCTGACCTTCTGGGGAGAGCCGTGCTGGGAAACATCCCTGGCGCTCCCGTCGGGGCTTCAGCATTAGTTATGGTTCACTGTCGAAAGAAGCTAAGAATCCATATGTAGGAAGGGGTCATAGGGTGGGAGTAATTTTTAAAAACTTAGGAATGGAAATTGAAGTTTATTCTGCTTTGTGTTTTTCCTTTTGTTTTTACCTAGCATTGGTTTTAAAATACATTACAATACATAGATGGTTCGGATATTTTGTTTCTTTTTTTATTAATTGAATGTTAATTGTGTCTCATTCCTTGTGGTTATTAGTAAACAGGGTTTAGTTTTTATACACAATAATGAGTGAAAAACTCAAGGCCCAGTAGACTTTCAGTATACCACTTTTATCAGAACAAGTAAAGCTTCGTGTAAACCCAGACACAGAGTCCAGGATATTAGTTCCCTTCAGGGGAAGGTTTGAGGAAGGAATAGAGGGGTACACAGAGCCTACCTGGAGTCCTTAAAGAAACACGCATGTTGCTTGTTCTCTCCTTCTTGAAAGATGAGGTATTTTTCTAGTTCACCTTTTCTTTAGAGTGCCCCAGCTTAAAGTGGGGGTCTCAATTCACATCTCCACCTTATGTAGTCCAACAGGTTTAGCTCCTGTCCTGCCACCGTCATTGTATTTTAGACTCCTTAGTTACTGAGATTGGCAAACTGGACCGCATTGGCTCAGCTCCGGCGTAATTCTCTGCTTTTGAGCTCCATCTGGTTTATTCCCTGGGAATTTCCCTTTCTTTCTAAAAAACCTCTTAAGGCTTTTCAAAAAAAAAATTTATTCTCACCCAAGGATATTTTTTCCATTGATATTTAGAGAAAAAGTGGAAGGATGGGGAGAGAGAGACATCGACTGGTTGCCTCCTGCACACACCCCAATTGGGGGCTGGAGATCAAATCTGCAACCTAGGTAAGTGTCCTTGACCGGGGATCAAACCCAAGATCCTTTGATCTATGGGCTGATGCTCTAATCACTGAGCAAAATTGGCCAGGGCTTGAGCTCATAGGCTTTTTAGATTATATTTGTGATAGGTGATACACATTCTCTTGTGGCTTTTATGATGGTACATCGTAAGTTGCTTTTCGAACCTCTTCTATAAAATTGGTCTTTTCTGGCTTTCTACCTCTACACCAGTCAGTTCTGGTCATCATATGCCAAACAAATACCATTCAGACTCTGTGTTTTCCCACATCTGGTGCCATATCTCTGCATGTGATATTTATTGTTTTATAACTTATCTATTACTATATGTTATATCTGAGTGTATGTTCTTTTTTCTTACTAGTCTTGTCAGTTTTTCTTTCTTAATCAGTCTTACAAAGAAGTCATCCATAGGTAATTTCAAAGAACAAGCTTTTTTATTTTTTCTAGTTTTTCTGATTTATTTCAATGTATGTAATTTTTGTTGTTGTTGTTGTTCTCAGTGTCTGAAGAAAGAGAGGTTAGTGAAAATGGAGCTAACCTTCAATTGGTTGGCCCTAGATTTAATAGGTGATTAATCACTTACCCTTGGGCTATCCTACTTAAAGTCACATAGCACCAACCACATTCCTTCCTTTGCCTAGACAGCCCTCTGGAAAGCCTAGGAAGGGAGATGTTTCTGTAGAGGGTCAGGCAGTGCTTACTGCCAGGATGAATGACTGCAATTGAGCTGTGAACATCCAGCTCCTAAATGCTGTTAGGAGGCTGTGGGCCAGGCTGCTCCTTGAATTCTGCAGCCCCTGCAGATTTGGAGAAATGGTAACAGCTCCCAGGGTCTGTCTACCCAGGGTCTGCCTCAGCACCTGTACAGCTGCACCACTCACAGCTGCTGTATCTTGGTTTAGGCAGGTACTTATGAGTCACTGATCAGCCTTTACATCATTTAAAATGAGATTTTCCATCACTGGTGCTCTTGAAAGAGAAAAGGCTAGACCTTGAGGAAACCTTGATATTTAAAAATTTCATACTTTTCAGAGATTGAAGATTGATAATAAGATCCCTCAAAAATGAGAAAGAACCACCCTTGGAGTTGGAAGAAAACCAAGTGTGGTGTTGGTGGTTAACAGTGTCAAATGTACGAGATCAAGTAACATCTATCAAGTAAGATATATCATTTCACTAACAGCTGTGCCACTGGTATCTTTAGTCACAACTTTTTCAGTGGAATAGTTAGTAGAGGCAGATGCCAAACAACAGTCCAAAGTCTTCAAAGTTGCCAGATTGCCCCCTCCCTCAATTAAAAGCATAAATTCCGACCACTTGCTTCATAGTATTTCACCGCCATTCTGAAAATGTTTCCTTGTCAAGTGTTCCTTTGATCTTGTTTTCTTTAGACAAGGCAGGTATTTTTAACCTGAAGACACTGGGCCCCTTTAGAGTATAAGCAGAATAGTGTATTTGTACAGTATATGTTCATTTTCTTTAAAGATAGTGATGATAACTTAATCACATTTTCAAAAGGTACCCTGACTGTAGATCTGCAATTTCAGAATTTATGAAACACCTTCCCCTTAGCCACTTTACTTTCAAGAGTTTTCCTTGCCACAGTACCTGTCTAATAGGTCATTCCTAGTGTTCTAAATTGTCTGGGTATCTTTAGCTCAGTATCCTGTAATGGCCCTGAAGCACTTCTAATGTAAGCCTTTCCAATTCAGACTAAATACTGTATTATCTACAATAATAAAAGCGTAATATGCTAATTAGACCAGACAGCCAAACGACCTTCCGGACGTTTGTCATTCCAGACGTCCTTCCTGACGAAGCTGCAGTGGCGAGAGCCGAGGCAGAGGCGGTTAGGGGTGATCAGGCAGGCAGGTAGGTGAACAGTTAGGGGCGATCAGGCAGAGTGGTTAGGGGCAATCAGGCAGGCAAGCGAGCGGTTAGGGCGATCAGGCAGGCAGGCGAGCAGTTAGGGGCTTCAGGCAGGCAGGCAGAGTGGTTAGGGGTGATCAGGCAGGCAAGCGAGCGGTTAGGGCGATCAGGCAGGCAGGCGAGCAGTTAGGGGCTTCAGGCAGGCAGGCAGAGTGGTTAGGGGTGATCAGGCAGGTAGGCAAGCAGTTAGGGGCGATCAGGCAGACAGGCAGGGGCAATCAGGCAGGCGAGTGTTTAGGGGTGATCAGGCAGGCAGGTGAGCAGTTAGGGGCGATCAGGCAGGCGGATGAGCAGTTAGAGGCGATCAGGCAGGCAGGCAGAGGCAGTTAGGGGCAAATTGTGTCCCTGCTCCTCCAGTGTGTGTTAGGGATGATCAGGCAGGCAGGCTCTTGGTTAGGGGTGATCAGGCAGGCGGACAGAGGGGTTAGGGGCAATCAGGCAGGCAGACAAAGTGGTTAGGGTGGTCAGACAGGCAAGCAGAGTGGTTAGGGGCAATCAGGCAGGCAGGCAGGCGAGCGGTTAGGAGCCAGTGGTATATTAATAAATGCATCTAGTATATTAATAAATGCATACTAGGACAAATGACCACTTTGTAAGGGAACATATGATGAGGGATTTAGATAAAGATTTGTGAAAACCTGTACAGCATTATGTAATTTAAAGGAATGATCTCTGAATTTGTTTCCAGCCTATAATTGAATGAGTCTCCATGAATAAGAACAAAACCACAGATTGAACATGGAGGCTACGAGAATACAGATTATAGGAAGGAAGTCTACAGAGTCAGGTGACACTAGTCCTCCTACAGTGACTCCCACTTAATCTTTCCTTTCTCATCTGCTGTGGTCTCAATTGTCTCTCCCAAATGCAAGTTCAGTCCTGCCTTTATTCATGCTATTTCTTCACTGAATGCCCACTCATTATAGTTTTTATGTCCAAAGCCTACTATATTAGTTTACTAGGGCTTCCATTACAAAGTACCACAGATTGGGCCATTTAAAGAACAGAAACTTTTTGTCTCACAGTTCTGGAGACCCGCAGTCCAAGATCAAGTGTTAGTTCTTTCTGAGGGCTGTGAGGGAAGGATCTGTTCCAAGCCTCTCTCCTCCTTTGTTGATGACTATCTTCTGTTGTCTCTTTACATTGCCTTCCTGCTATGCATGTCTCTGTGTCCAAATTTTCCCCTTTATAAGGACACCAGTCATTGGATTAGGGCCCACTCTAATGCCTTACTTTAACTTGATTACCTATGTTAAGAACCTACCTATAAATAAGGTTACATTCTGAGGTGCTGGGAGGTTATGACTATTCTCTCTCTCTCTCTCTCTCTCTCTCTCTCTCTCTCTCTCTCTCACACACACACACACACACACACACACACACACACACACACACACACACACACTGGAGGAGCAGGGACACAATTCAATTAATAAACCTACCACTCCTGATATAAGGAAAATGTGGATGTGCGTTGGGGATTGGGGGTGGGGTGGCATAGGAAGGCAGAGAGACTTGTTTCTTTTTTTGTACAAAAAAGTGAATATATGTAAAGGAGGAGTTGTGATGGGAAGGAAAGGACATTAGCTATAGAGTTAAGCAGCCCCACATCTGCATCTTGTCTCTAGGCACTCACATAGGTAATGTCCCCACTCCAGGGTTGGACAACTTCAAGAAAAATAACATTTTTACCTCCCAACCAATAATTTTATGGGTTGAAGAATTTCAGTGCCTACTTATTTCTATCTATTTTAAGAGTAGAACAATTGAACTCTCATCAGTGAGATTCAGAGGAATTGTCTTAGGAAGAAAATTTTAGATATTTTGATAAAGATAATATTCCTGCTTTCCCCAGAAAAATTGATATGTAAACCGGTTGAGAAAACCCTGTCACTTTCTGTTCAGCATTGTCAGCCACGAATTTCATCCAGCTAATGTGACCAGACAGTCAAGTGACTTGCCTTTAATTTATTGTGATTGGGTTATATTTATGAAAAGCAGATCTGCAACAGCTAATAGCAAGTGTTTAGACACTGATTGTTTTCATAGGTAGTTTTAAGAAATTGCTAAACCTAAGTAGACACCTAGTACGTTTGCTTAGTATATGAAATGTAAATCATTTTTTCCTGTAATAATGAGTCTTTAAATGCATGCAAATATTATAAATGGTTACCTCATTTCAGACGTACTTTTATGGCACCTGTCTGCTCACTAAATATATATTACCTTTGAGAGTTAAACTAAAGAGGAGAGGTGGGAATAGGCCTACCAAACAAAGATTTATCTGTTGTTCTTTTCTCTCCTGAAAAGGCAATCACCCCAACACCACAGGTAGAAAAGAATGTTTTGCTCCTTCTGTGTCACGTCATTAAAGTAGTTAATCTAAAGCCATAAATTTTTGTCTTCTGGGCCAAGAAATTTTAAGTAAAATACTAACAAAAATGTTACGCTTTTAAATGAAAAGTGAAATAATCCTTATCCTTTTTATTTGAGTTTCCAGAAATGGCACACTTCATAAAAAAAAATTATCATTTTTATTTTTAAACTGAGTTTCTTGCATTAGTCAGTAAACAATTTATTTGGTGAACATTCTCTGTGCACATATATACAACATGTGAACATTTAGGAAACAGAAGGTGCTTGAATTTGTGAGATTTAAATATTTTCTCACAGTTGATCCAGTGATACTGCAGTTGAAATAAAACCACACATAAATGAAATACCACTTTCTACTAAAAAACAAGTATAGATTTTCTATCATTGTTTTAATGAGGACAGTAATGATTTTATTTATTCAGTGGAACATCTTATAAATCTTTAGCATGTTTACCTCCATATGCATTTATCGACTCACCTATAAAACTCCATCTGTCCTAAACACAAATATACATATACATTTAATTATATTATCTGACTACACATACTAG